ATCAATTCATGTGAATATGACTGAAATTTTTCATTTTGTCTGAAAAGGTGGTGTCTATTTACTTGTGACCACGCTGTGTATACTAAACTTCTATGTGGTTTTATAGGCCTTTTTAAGAAAAAACAAAAACAAGATGCTCTCTCCTGAATCAAGTGATCTATGTACAATCGTTACTTCCAAAAACCAAACTTGTCAAGCACTCATCATCCTCTCCAAAGCTTTGTATAGAGAACTAATCAAAAATATCTGTCTTCATCATTACTGCAATAGTGGAACAGAGTGAAGGAAAATAACTTTGTTTTGGAAAAGTTTTAACCATTCTCTCTGGTGAAAATTAACTGGAGGAAAAGTTTATGTTTCATCAGTGTGACTGTGGCTTCATTCAGGTTATGTCTTGATGGCCAAAGAGGCAGGGGAACAGTGAAGATGCTAGAGAATCAATTCTGTACTCACTGCCCCTTTCTGCTGTGGGCTACACTGCCAAAAGCTCAACACATTCAAGACATTGCAGCAATGGGCATTATACCCAAATATCAGTACCAGACAATCTCAATGACACCCACTGAGAGCATAGGACACTGCCACTCAGTTGACCATAAAAAGACACCCTAGGGCCTCCAGTCTAGAGGAATTCAAGGCCAAAGTGGTGTCTTGTAGTAACCCAAGCAACACTAAATTCTCAGAATCCTTCTCCTCCCTTTCACCTGTTGCAAGATGAAAAACACAGGGATGGATGTTTGGATCTCAGAAGAGGTAAACTGTGATGTCCCTTGATCAGGTACAGGAATTCACATTGAGGGGTTGTTCATAAGAATGACCAATATTTTAGTCATATAAACTTGGCAATTATTAATTTAAAATTCATAAAGGTTTCTCTCATGATAAAAAGACGTGTAGGGTAAAAAAAGAGAAAAGTCTTTGGTAAATCACATTCAAAGAAACCCACTGAAACTCTAGAACTATTGACAGATCCATCCTTCAAAAGTACTAAGGTTTTATTTTATTTTATTAATGTAAATTATTAAAAATTTATCATATATTCCCAAAATAAAAACAAATAAACTATGCAGTATCAAAAACATTTTTTTAAACTGTAGCATTAAAAATCAGGAAAGCCTATAAGAAACATTGTAGTGATTTATTTATTTTCTATGTAGGCACAAATAAGGCTTAAAATAGAACTTTAAATCAAAATAACAAAAGCCAATTACTATACAAATTACATTACCTGAAATACGTTTGGCAATGTAGTAATATAATGCTGCCTCTGTAACTCGTTGGTTTTTTGAAGTTGATTGGCATACTCCGTTTTACAGTCTTCACAGGCTTGATTTTTCATCACAGAAAGTGTCCTTGCCTACGATATAAACTTTAAAAAGTTAATGGGTGAAACTTACAACAAAGGGCTTAATGTAGCAAGAGCAAAAAACTAGGAAATCATGAACTTGAAAAGGAAAGACAATATACCAAGATGAATTTACAGTGTGAATTATTTTTTTTTTTTTAGATTTTATCTGTTTATTTAAATATAAACAGTTTATTATTATCTAATACAAAATCAAAAAACAGAATACTAGTATAAAAAAAAAAATTTTCAGAGTCAAACATCATTTGCTCATTTCAGAAATTAAGAAACAAAATGAAGACAATGATTGAACAATATCATATTTGTGCAAAATAACCGTTTCAAACTCAAAAATTAGAAAGATATGCTAACAATTTTTTTTTTTTTTAGTTTACATTCTAAGAACCACTAGGAGATAAAATATTAAATACAGCATGAAGGCCTTTACTGGTTTGATTTTGTATATATATCTATCTACACATTAAAAGCAGTAATCTGTCTGTCTCTCTTGCGTCTGGACATGATAATTTGTTGTGATGAAATAGCTGAACCTTTGTTGTACATCTATCTATATCAGTATATATATACCTTTAAAGCAGAGTTGTCCACCAGTCTATTTGTTTTTATGGCATCACATTTTGTTATGAATTAGCTACCCAATTCTGATGGAATCTGTGAAAGGAACACAGTAAACTCCCAAAGAACAAGGTTAAATGGATGAGTAATCAAACAAATGGTTTGAGTTTAGCAGCAAGTTTAGTTTTTAGAACATGAAGCCATGTTTCAACAAAAAAGTATGTTTACTGATTGCCACGTGTAGCACAAGGACACTTGCCGATCATCTACATTCAATCTTGACCCGTATGGCAAATCACACGCATCCTATCACTACCTCCATGAAGCCAATAAAATAAATCCTGTGTAATGTGTGGGAAGATTTACTAGTGTGTGTATATATATATATATATATATATATATATATATACATATATATATATACTATATATACTAAGAATAAATAGTATATATATTAATACTAATAAAGTTAAGAATGTAACCTAGTACGGTCCTTTTAACTT